AGCGTATACGTTTTTTAAGCAAATCAATAGAAAGAGAGTATGCTCTCGCGGGATATTATTATAAGTTTACTGATATTATACGAAAAAGATCTTTCGAATAAGGTGGTAGAATGAAAAGGCGGTGTCAGTTTTGTTTTGTTAGGGGTATTGCGATTGTGAGCTAAGTAACAGAAATGATTTTTTTTTGTAAGTAGGATGGTAGTTTATGTATAATAATCTTATGGTATTGTACGAGGCTATGAAGCAGTCTGTGTTGCTTCATGTTCAGCCAGCCAGCATCAGTAAGCTTTGGTGACACTGAATCGAAACCAAAGATAAGTCTCAGACAAGCATTTTGCACGCGTTGTATTTTATCAGAGGTGAATTTAGTTAGACATTGGTCATAGATGACATCACAGAAGTTAAAGTGCGACAGAACAAGAGAATTGCATAGTATGACTTTAGTTTTTTGGTTCATGTAAGATTTTGGACCGTATATCGTCCTTAAATTACAATACGCCCCTCTGGAGCACTTGTTAACATGATCCTCAAACCTTAAGTTTTTGTCAAGGTATAAGCCTAAATTATGCGCTATCGAACTTATTTCTAAAGTATTGGTATCGAGGGTTATTTTCACCAGAGGTTCACAATGGTCTCTCCAATTTTTCGGCCCGAATAACATGACTGTACTTTTAGCCGCATTCAAGTCTAAGCATATGTTTCAAGAAGCTTTAGTGAGACGATCAAGGTCATTATTTATCAGATCAACAGCAGGCAATGTTTGAGCTGGAGGAAATGATAAGTACACCTGTGTATCATCTGCATAAAAATGAGCTTTACAAGAGTGAAGACTGAAGTATAGATTAGAGGTGTAAATAATGAACATGAGCGGACCCAGAATGGAGCCCTAAGCAACACCAATGGTCACTTTCAATGACGTGGAGCATTACCTGCTGATGACGGTCGCTAAAAGTAGCTACGCATTAGATACTCTGCATCGGCCGAGAATCCGTAAAAGTGGAGCATGTCTAAGAGTAGGTCATGACGTATCCTGTCAAAAATGCCTTCGTATAATCTAAGAGCACCAACTCAGTCAGGTTACCTTTGACAGCACTGCACAATACATCATCCACCACCCCCAGCAATGCTGTTGCACAGCTATGCGCCGGACGGAACCCTGATTGTGTATCTATAATGAGTTTATTCATTCTTAAGTGTTCTCTTATCTGAACATCCATTATTGATTCAAGCAATTTAGACAATATTGGCAATATACTAATGTTACGCAAATCCTTGAGCTCAGATGGCTGAGCAACTTTAGGCAAAGGCACAATCAAAGCGTGCTTCCAGCAAAAAGGAAAATAGCGACGCAATATGCATTCATTAATGATAACGTCATGTAAATATTATATGTTTATTTGTTTTATTGAAAGCAGGTATATTCTGAGCAAAAAATTCAAAAGACGACTTTCGTGTAACATAATTATTAAAAACATGCAATAAAGTGCTTTTTATTTTTTATCTCGCAAACGAAGCGAGATATGAAAGAAACTGAAGGCATAAAAGGGTTGTATTTTTACCTGCTAAATTCAACAAAAAAAAAAAAAAAAAAATAGAAAAATTGGAAAAAGGCATTGGCGCAGAAATTTTTTGTCAAAGGTATTGGTTAGGGTGTTTTCCGGGACGCCACTGGATTTGATGGTCTCAATCTAATATGAGCTAAATTAGCCCCTTACTGCCCTTAGTATACTGCAGAATTTGAACAAAATCGACTAAAAGTTCATTAAGACATTTAGGAAAAAACGATTTTAAAAAAAAGTTTGATACCCTGTATCTTGAAAACGAAGCATTTCTGGACCTATGTTTATACATACTTTTTATCTTAAAATTACGCAAAGAATCACCGCCTGAAGTTTGTCTACATACTTTATTGACATCCTGTATATTTTTGAAAATTTGTCCGTTTACGATACTTCCTCGCAAATGGGAAGTAAAAGGCAGGTGTTTTTTTTTAAAAGCGATGTTCTGCCAGGTTTAACGTTTGATTCGCGGTCTGTAAATTAAGTGATGAGACTTATTTTTTACAAATTTGTTATCCAAATATCATCACAATTTTATATTGCCACCCTCAAAAGAACTTCTGAAGCCACACAGCGTTGGAGACGGTTTTTCCACTCCTCATAGCAGTGCTGGAACTCCGATGCTGGAATAGCCTTCAGCTGGTCGGATACAGCCATTTGAATGTTTTTGACTGTCTCAAAATGGAAGGAATGGAACGTTTTTACTGGCCAAAAACTCGTTTATTGACATTGCTATGTGACAAGGAGCATAATCGTGATGCAACACCCAGTTCTTCCTTATCTGATGAACGATGGTGGGATCCCCCGATCATTCTATCTATCAACCGACGATCTGAATGCACAAGATCCCTGATTCTGTCGATATTTTCATCGGTTCTTGAAGACAAAGGCCTTCCGCTTCGTGGTTTATCTGCAATTGACTGTCTCCCTTCTGAAAATACCTTAAACCACCGAAAAGCCTGGAGCTCTTAACATAACACTATCTTCGTAGGCCTACCGAAGTTTAGCAAGAGTTTCCGTTACACTGTGCCCAAATCTGCAGCAAAACCTGATAGCACATGTTTGCTCGAAGTTGATGCCATTCATATTTAGAACACACTAGGAAAAAGTACGTACAACCTAATGACTCGAGCGAGTTCAAACTTGTACTGAAGGCGGATCACATGTCTCCCTGTCTTTCCTACAAGCCCGGCGCCACCAGTGTTGCTAGATCGAACGTTACGTTGCCAGTCTAATTACTTAATTTACAGACCTCGTAGATATCGTGACATTTTTTTTAAAGGAATTAAGGGTTAGTTGAGGGCTCAATGATGGGCTAAAGGAAGATGTTAACGTTTTCGTATTTTTTTGTGGGAATACATGTACATGTGACAGACATATTCTAGCTCTACCGTCGAATTCCACGGGGTGGACGACGGAGACCTTCTATCAACTACAGGTACCATCTGACTGACATGAAAGGTCACTAATTATATCAGAGTCAAGCAAGCTTTATCAGTTACACGTTAAGTCCCTGAGGATAACGCCAGTGAGCAAGACGATGGCAGCTTTCTCCGCCAGACACCAACTGGTATATCTCTTTAAACGTTTCAGGAACGCTTTATCGATCCCAAAGGCGCTAGGGTCCAAGTGTAATGGCAGGACAATATATTCATTAACAAAGGTTCGTGGAAATTAATAGGAAACTTACGGAGGTAGAGCCAAATGTCGTTAAAGGGGTACGTATACACAAAACGAGGAGGACAGTGTTGATTATAGTATTTCGAACTGATTCAGTTATATAGACGTAGGTACTTAATTCTCACCAAACAAAAAAGAAACATTTTATTTCTATATATGCGTGGTAAAGTATGATTTGTTAATATAGCTGCTTACCAATAGCTGATCCAACTGGACTGTTTTCTGGTCTAGAACGACAAGATACTGAAAACGCTACCAATAGTTATTTGCTACCATGGTAACGCTGTTAAGATTTGACTGCCGACTTACTTATTTGTGGGATCAGATAGGAATATTGAAAACTGATGGTAAATAAAACTTCTAAAGTAACTCATTGCCGTTTCCACTTTTTATACTCCCACTCACTTACTGTGATATCGATTCAAGCTGTAATTATGTCTAGAAAAGCAGAAAATCGACGTGCTATATCAAAAGCGTTTTGTAAATAAAATATTTATAACAGATTAAGCATCGGCTCCTTTGAGAATGATGCGCTAAAGCATATGCACAGAAGCCTGGTCTGTAGAAGAATAAATGTGGTAGAAAGGAAGGTGAGGCAGTTATGCATTCGCTTTGTTATTGTTGAGCCGTACCATTAACGGCTTCCTATGGCTTATTATGTAAAAGAAAATTTGGTGGGTCATGCCACTACCTTTTCAGCTTCGGTAATCTAGTGGTTTCATAGGAACGATATCGCAGAGGGAATGGGAGGGATCGATACCTACCATCGAAGAAATCGGTTCTGATTCGGTGGTTTCTGATGCTGATTTACTGATGCTTAAAACCGCACTAACGCTTTTAATTTCAACGAATCCAAACGATTAACGGTCTACAAAGTAATAATTATTAAGGTATTGAGTATAGACGGTTTTTGGATTCATGTCAAGTTGTCATATCATTGTTCATCAAGACCGGAATAGAAACCATGGAGCCAAATCACTATGTGGCAACATAGGATAGCCATATTACAATACTTTCACGTACAATGCAATAAAATTATTACATTACATTATTACATTAATAAAGTCATTTGACGTAAAATTTATTAGCTGCTTTTCCGAAAAATTCTATAAGAATTGTTTATTTAAACCTTTCGCGAGGGAGCCGGTTATATTCGCAAAAAAAGGTAGTGTCTGGTATACGGGAAACGTATATTTACGCAGCGACAGAGGTTAACTAAGGGAAACGTGTTGATCAGCATATGTCGGTATTTGTTTGTACCAAATACTATGTATACAAGCGAAAATTTTCAGTGGTGGGGGAACAGGCATGCAAAGAATTGTCGCCCAGGTGGCACCGTCAAGACAGGTTGCAGACGTTTATTTGACCATTATTCTTCGAAAGCGGGTACTGATACTTTAGTTATTTTACATTATATTTATCTTCGAAATGTCTCATAGTGAGTTAACAGATCAAGAGTTGTTAGAAATATTACAGAATAGCGCTTCTGAGTGCGATGTTCGACGACGACGCCGAGGAATAGGAAAATATCCTATTAAGAAGATCAAAACGATTGTTGACTAAACTAAATACAGAACAGAGAAATACTGGGGACTGGTAACATTAGAAAGAAACAAATTATCCTTATATGGCCGTGTATTGCCAATTAACAAGACACAACAACACTGGGGATTTTCCTGACTACTTAGAATTCTCTATGCTACGATTTCTATGCACAACATAAATCACATATCTCATGCACCACAATATATATTTCGTTACCTTCTTAAATTCACTAGGGCTCTGTACTTTAATCTTGTCCTCATCACAGCTAGTCGTTCCTTCAACATTACTATCACCCGATTTCTTAAAGTTACTACACTGCTGATGTTTCTTATCGTGTTTGCGTTTGTTTTTGCATTTTTTGGCGCACTTCTGTTTCACGGGTGAAACATCCAGAACGGTCGTTGAACACTGTGCACTAGAACTGAAGGTAATGGTTTATTTGAGGATTGTAACAGTATTTATGCAGGGTAACCTCAAAGATGGGACTTTACACGGCATATAGTTCTTGAAAATTTTCTAGTAACATACACACCAAAATCTTAAGATTAACGAGACGTTAGGCTCCGCAAAAATAAATCAAACCTAATTAAAACCCAATCCGGTCCTGCATTTCGATCAGATCATAGGTGAACACGTATGATACACGTCAGTACTCAAAACCTTTACACCTCGGTTAAAAAAAGCGAAACAAAAATGGCACACTCATACAGGAATATTGGGGTTGACCATATTATTTTAATTTTTAGTCATAGTTTGATTTGCTTTGTTGTAGGGCATTGCAAGCCCTGAGGTAGGAAAAATCGAGCAAGCCACGAGTCAGCTGTACAATCCACAAGTGAACCAATACCTAGATGAATCCGGCTTATCCGACGCCACTGTCTTCCCTTCCCCCTCCTTTTTGCCGAAGTCGATGAGGACCTCCTTAGCCAATCGCTCTTCAGCCTCACCAGTGGCGATGCCAATAGGGGTTTCGTTTGACACACTCGAGTAGCGAGGCGTCTCCTTCGAAGTAATAGGAGCACTTTGTTGTTTCGAGGTAACCGGAGCGCTGACGATGACGTCGGACTTGTTGACCACCCGTACGCCCCTGCCTGGCCCCTTGGTGGTGGCGCGTAGGGGCAGCCCGGCGGTCAGTGGAGGCGTACCCAGGGGCACCGGAGAACGGCGGAAGACAGACGGGTCGGCCGGCTGGCAGACGCAAGCCAGCATCGCATGAGCACCGAATTGTGGGGCTGTGCAGGGAGCTCTGCAATATTAGTAAAAGCTTCGGAAATATGTATTTTCCTAAGTCCTGAGTTTCGTAATGGACAAATGGAGTCAAGTAGATTACTAGTATTTTTTATGGATTAAATCATGAGCAATAAAAACAGTTTACCTAAAAATTATCAAACTCATACACGTATAAGTTCTAAACCCAGTGGCGGCTATACACAGTATATTACTTTAATGTCCCCACCTAAATGACCCTGACAATGACCTTGATTACGACCTTCAATGTCATTATGAACTCAGTGAATATTTTCAAATATTACATACATCGGAATAGAAAAGAGAAGCAAATTTCACCACCGAACATCACCTTGGACATGACCTTGCCCATTGCCTTAAAGGTCATTTCAAGATCAAGACACGAAAAGCAATTTAGTCTAGCAAAAATGTTCAACAGCACATTTGTGAGGTTTGTGGGGATCACCAGAATGTGACATTGACCATGCCCTTAAGCTCAAGTCAAAATGTTCAAAGGAAAACTCTTATTTTTTACTGGAACTGAGAAAACAGGAAGTTTTATGTGCAAATGTGACCTTCACCTCAAAGTCAAGATTTTGTCAAGCTTAAATATTTCAGGTCCATGTCGTTTTTTGCGGAGCTCTGAAGAATGGCACAAAAGGCCTGTTTCCATATTCTAAGGCTTGCGACACTTTATGATTTTTTGACGATGATATTCAAAACGAGCTTGAAAAATTACTTTAATATAATGGGTGTTGTTCATTTGTAAGAATCGGAGGCGAAATAGAAATGCTGCATTGTGGTACTTGATAACTTAAGCGGAAAAAATAAAAAATCTTGCATCATACGAAGTTATATAATAAAACCAAATACTAAGGCACTGTAACTGCTAAAATAAGTTGGGATGGAACTTAAATGCTTATAGTTATTGAACATGCGCTCATCTGAACGTTTGATGAAGGAAGGTCATACGCAATAAAAACTTGTTTCCAAGTTTCTTGGATTAAAATGTTATTTTTTCCAAGAAGAAATAGGCGATTCTAACCTATGGTGAGCAACAAAGTACCTGTAAGCCCACTTCAAACAGTTCACAAAAGCGCAAAGTGGAAACTTTATTGAGGGTAGCGATTTTTTCATTTTTCACCGCGTAAAAGATCAAAGGTGAATGGGATAAATTGGTTTAGTTACGGCGACTTTGTATTTTTCAGGCTCAGAGGTAGGAATACTCACACAACGCCATTTATTATTTCTTTGCAGTGCATCAAAAACAAACTAGTTGTAATGGATTTAGGTTTTATAAAGAAAATCCTGTCTGTAGAATGGACGTTTAACGAATTTGGGTATGAATGAAAGAATAAACGGAAAGGAATACTTCAACTCCTATACCATCATCTTGCGACTATATCCGTGGTAGTACAATGCCGATCATCCTTTACGTAAAAGCTAGGATGGACCTGAGTACTTCTATCTAGCACCTTCTACTTACAAGGCAATAGATCGCAGTCAACATTCTTTGCTTTCTGGCGATTTTCCAAATATCGGTTTGTTTTTAAAATACATGCACCTAAAGCATTCCACTGGAAATTGCTCTGATCATTGATTACCGCATTCTACCTGAACCTAATGCTATATTCCCGCTTAAAAAAATATTGGAGATAAAATGAGGTACCATAGCACCATCTGTGAAAATTTGTTGTTGTTTCTCTCTCGCTACTATGTATACCTTGAAACAGAAACTCATAGATGGCGCTGTAGCCACATGTATACGTGTACATGCTCATATAGGCAGCGCCGTCTATGAGACACTAACCTCTTCAAAATATACTATATATAGTAAAAAGAAAATCAGTTCTGACAAATTCTCATAGATACATTGTATACCCGATACTTTTTGGACGCGGGAATATAGCATTAAGTTGGCTATGTTTAGTTAGAGTACGTAACCTAACACACTACTGCTAATGTTTTAGACCTTCATATTCTATGGCTTTAAGATATTTTTAGAAGTCTGCACCTTCAGCTGGAAAAAACGCATTCTTGTTTCATTTCGATGAAACGAGCCGTTTTTGAAAAAAAAAACAGATGGTAGCAGCGCTATTTTATCGATTGCAATACTAATGCGATAAAATGCTTCCGCCATTTTCAGTCATTTTGATGATGGCTTCGTAATCAACTTGAAAAATTTTAGGGTATTTTTAAGAATAATTTCAACTTATTCGGCATTGACTGCAATATAGGTTGATAAGAACAGAATTGAAACAATAGTATTATTCTCAAAAAGGGCTCGATTCATCAGAATTAAACGAGAATGCATGTTTGTAAATTATGTCATTATTGGTGAGCCATTTATTGAGTGGGCTGCAATGAAAATGAAAAATATTGACGGTCTCTGGCGATCTAAATTTTACATAGACATCAACGTGTGAAGCCTCAACTTGTTGCCTTGCTATCACAATGCAACAGAGAGCTTTTTGAGAAAAAGCAAGTTCGGCAGCCGTCATTCTGTAGCGGTAATTTGAACTTCTTTCTATTCATCACTGTCTGTCACAGTGCTCCGTAGGACCTTTGCTCTTGGTTAAAGTACCGTAAGTCAGTAGGTCTGTCAGGTCTGGTTGCCCAGATACCAAACAAGATCAGGGAGAATGAAGGGATGAGCGAGCAAAGAAGGGAAGGGAGGAGGGAGAGCAAAGAGCTTGCTATTTTATAGAATTTCAAAGTTGCATTTTCGGTGGTAATACTGTAGTACAGAATACTGCTTTATAAGCTGTTTTTTCTTGTTTACACAAAATATTGTTTAACATTATATGAATATAACATACAGTGTAAATTACTGTGACACTGTTCATCGCAATAATGCAATTTTGCATTATTTTAATGATGAAAATACTTTTATTTCAGATAAATATTCCCATCACTACACTACCATCACTAGCATACGCTCTTCAACTAGTTGCGATGTTGCCAAATCATGGATAGTAATATACCTTAATTTGGTTTGTCAAACTTACTTATATAGTAGCGCCAAAATGTGCAATTGGCACAGGATTGTCGTGAAAATGCGATTTGGAGGCGTGGCCGGCAGGTTTCACTGTACTAAATCCACCTCGTGCCCTACGATAGCGTTAGCTAAAGACACTTTTTTGAAAAATACCTTATGGCCTTCACAAAAGTACTCCGGCTATTGTTTTTCCTATATTATAGTTATAGTCTATTTACTTTTTTTATGTAAGTACTTGAAGAATTATTTAAAGTGAAGCTGATGTCACAAAATATACCTAATTAAATGTGATATATACATGAGAAATAAATGAAAAAGTAGCTGTTGCCAATCACTAAATAATGAAAAGATAACAAAGAACATTGCAAGTTTTTTGATGATTTGATGAAATGATCGTTGATCTTTATTTAACTATAATGTTGGACGATGATATGTTGGGTGGGCCTGGCGAGGTGGTCCAAATCGACGAACCGAAGTTGGTTTTTTTTATATGCAATGACGCTGGTGCCTTTTGTATTTTTTATGTCACGCGAGCCGCTGGTGCACTTTCCACTAAAGATACAACTGTTCAAAATTTCGTCTAGTTTTCGGTAAATACTTGGAAAACTTCACACAAAACATGCCATTTACAGCCTTTTATTTTGCAAATAACCTCATGTTTTATTAGGTATTTCTCCTAAAAAAGGTACAACTTGGCAGCAATGGACATAATTTATCTTATCTTTCAAACAACGAACGTTATAAAATGACCATTGAGAATTGTTTGTACTTTCAAATATATCTTATAAATGCAAAACCTTTGAAAATACGCGAAAAAAATGGTTAAGGAATTTCAAGAAGACATTGAAAAATCACAACACAACACCTCTACACAGTTTACCAAGTAAATACCCCATCATTTAGTATGTATTTTGAACTGTTATTTCAGCTAATAAGAATGTACAATAACACGGCTGATTTTGAACATTATTTTGCAAAAAACAACGATTTTTCGTTTCACATCTATTTTCCTTAGTACTATACAGTGTATGTTATATTCTTATAATTTAGAGCATCCTTTTATGCAAAAATCATCCTATAGTATTCCCACCAAAAATGAAACTTTGAGGTTCTATAAAATAGCAAGCAGAGGGTTCCCCAAAGAAAAAATGATATTTTCGTAAAAGTTACATCCTAATCCTTCATTTTAAAGTAAGAAATGAAGAATTTGCGATATGCGCTAAAGTATTGTCTTACCCCTTGATATTGCCAAATCGCACGATTTAATTTTTGTTCACAGTACGAGACACGGTCTTGTGTGCTTGCGAATGTGGGTCAAAAAAGGGTTGCTACGCGATTCTGCTTATGGTAGGTTAAACATATGTATACAATAAAATATTCTTAAAATAGTCCAAGCAGCAACCAACACTGTAAAATCTTCCAAAATAACTGAGGATTCCATAAAAAGAGAAAATAGATTCTGAACACAATATTTGATTTGCAGCTTAAAAATTCTAGAGCCTTGTGTTAAGCAGGGTGCATACAATAAGTTATTATCCTTAAGTAAGCAACACAAAACTTGCTTATCTTATCATAACATCCTGTTTTCCAGACATGTACAAATTCACGAATCGCTTAACTCTATAAATGCTGAACATCAGAGTGCTAACAAAATGAGAGTATGTAGTGATTGCGAATGTGGTTTGATTTGTGCGCCACTGGCGAAAGTGGTATATGGACAGCGGGTTGAATGTTGTGAGAGCGATAAAAGAGGTCTCGACGGGATCACCTGTTGGCGTATCTGATTATCCCAGCATCGCAGTCAAGGGTAGCCTCCTTCCGGAATACAAATGGAGTTAGATATACGAGGGGACTACGAATTGTTCACTCTTCTAGCAATATGCGCAGGCTCACATTCATGGCTGCCAAATGTGATGGAAACGTTGGAGATAAGAGAGATGATACGTATGCAAAGAACGGAGCTGAGCACTAAAGATAGGAATCATTGTCTTCTTTTTGTCAAAAAATATTAATATCTTGAAGCCGCGAT